AAGAGAGAAAAAGAAAAAAGAAAAGAGAAAGAAGGGGAAGTAAAGAGACAGAAGCTGTAATTAGGTTTCACGTAGGAAGGATAGGGGTGGTATAGTTTTAGCAATTTATGTAAAAAAAAAGATTTTAATTGTCTAAAAAAATCTACGAAGAAATTAATTTTATTGTTGCTAGCAAGTTAAATATTTAACTCTTTTACAAATTATTTAGGGATTTAATATAAGTTAAATACTGTATTTATTAACACATTCATAGCGAATTAAAAATTTTCTTAAAAATATAACAGTTAACCTATAGTAATCTTTTAATATTGTAAAAGACTGCTAAGATAACATCTTTATCAGTTTAATTCTTAAAACTGATCCACAAAAGAGAGCTAAATATAATTTTTACTATAGAGCAATATAAGTTAATTACAATTAAAGAGATCCAAACAATTTACCTCATACAGATGATCATTTCGTCCATGAGAAAGTAGTTTTTTCCCTGGAAAAAATATCTATTACTACAATGTAAAAAATGTTATCTATAACATATTTCCTTATATATGCTTGCCTCCAAGAGATTATCTCGCTACACATTTTCGCACTAAAGTTTTCTGCGGTCATGAAGTGAAAATATTATATTGGATCAATTGCTAGGGTTTCTGCTAGCAATGTTGAATGACAAGATTCCTCGTACACCCATAAATTTTGAATACTTTTATTCATTTCTCAAAATTTAATTCTCGTAGGGTGCCAGGTTCTTTAAATGTTAATAAGCACAAAAATGGAATATAAAACTCAATTTTCAGAACAAGAGATTAAATGCAGCAAATTCGACAGGGGGATTATGCATGGTAATGATTCTAATGAACCTTTCTCTATCGTACCTATGATTTATGAATTTAAGTGTAGTAACAGACTGGAGGCAATATCTTATGACTTGACAGTTGAAATAGCCAGATGTATCCATAAGTTGTATTCTAACAATTCCCTCTCACCTTTTCATACATGTGTTTTCATTTATTATCATTATTACATATATATATATATATATATATATATATATATATATATATATGTGTGTGTGTGTGTGTGTGTTTTTTTGAGTAATTTGTAATGACATTCAATGTTACATTGATACACAAGGAAGTCCTTTGAACTAAGTTCCCAAACTAGGATAAACTTAATTTTATATATATACTAGCAGTAGAGCCCGGCGTTGCCCGGGGATTTAACAGTAAGAGTTGGGGACGGCTGCTGCTTTGAAAGATGTGCTTTGTAAGTCGACATAAACTACGTTTCTACAAAACGTTGAAACTCAATGCACACAAAGTTTAAGCAGACATCATGCAGGCCCAAGTATTCGAAGGTATCGAAGGAAGTAACGGAAAGCCGTTGTAGCATCAGTCATTTGCCATTACTAAGACATCAGTTACTGCTTTAACCAATTGGACCGTTAAGCATTAGTTGAAGCATTTGTGATAAGTAGTCAAGAAACCACGATTCAGTTGCAACATTTCAAAAAGACTGAAGGGAAAACATGCCGTGAGGAATCCATAGACATAAAGTATGTGCTGTGCGCAATCACAAACAAACCGCTTGTCTAACTAAAAGACGCGTCTTATGTCCAAAAGACGGCGCTGTCACGACCACAAAGCAGAACCGTAAAACCGAGAGAAGAGCGAACAGTGACGGAGTGTCGTGGTAAGAAAATTTCTGTGATATAACTTCATTTATTCTGATCTGTCACTATCTACATCGCGGCTGAGAGTCCTTAAAACCGCAACGGGGGTAGCCGTAAGGCCGAGCATCGTAATTGCAATGGAGAAGTGCCATCTCTTCAGTCGCAGTCAACATCACGCTGAGAGCTCATGAAACCGGACCGGGGTCGCCGTACTTGGCGTGTGTTTTTAGTTTTTTTTACACGACTACAAACAAAACAATAGAGCCGTCTGGCTGACATGTTTCACCCATGGCAGCCGTAAAGTGTATATGGAAGCAGAAGCCTGAATTTCGTAGATGCACTCGACTTTTGTGACAATTAAACGAACTCCGAAGCTTCTCAAGTGTGAATGTGCCTGTATGCACTGGCACGAACTGCAGGTGCTCCGATTAACTGTTAATGAAACCGGAACTTTAGTGGAGCAATCATGTCTAATGCCGGTGTTCATGTGTCTAGCAGCTTGTGTTGCAACTGAATACGGTGAGGTTATCATAGTGTACAAACAAACACGATGATGGCGGGTGAAGGTATGAAAGTCAGAAGGCAGCAAAAGAGCTGGATAACCTTTACAAAGATGTCTTAGTAATGGCAAGTGGAGACTACGACGACCTAACGTTAAAACCAATATGACAAACAAATAAATTGCCATTCAATCGGACTGAATATGTGTGCATGGCGCTTAAACGCTACCGGGCGGGTTGTCTACAGAACCTCCGTGTAGGTTATGTTTCTAGCATAGTTGTTGGGAGAGTAAGTGAAAACCCTATCCTTAGACCCAACTCGTGAGCACCCAACATAAAGTTGGCCCTGAGAGAAGCACTGCTCACGTAAATGCTAAGCGTCTGTCCTTGTGATTTGTTAATGGTCATAGCAAAGCAGAGTTTCACTGGAAATTGTGAGCGACGAAAGTTGATTGGTATGCTTGCGTCTGACGACAGAAGATGCATCCTGGGAATCAGAACGACTTCCCCGTTGCCGTAGGTTCGGAGAAAGGAATTTAATAATGAGGCGAGTCCCGTTGCACTGTTTAGGTGGGAGAAAATTCCTGATTAGCATAATCGGAGCATCAACTTTGAGCCGAAGAATATGACGTAGGAGTCCGGACGGCTGAAGGGAGTTCAAAACTTCTATTGGTTACTCAGCTAATTCAGATGGATCGGAAGTTCTGTCGATGGACTTATAAGCATGACATTGCCCGGGAATGCAATCCAACAGTTTAAGGTTGATGGAATCAACTGTACAGTTCTTCGGTGCCAATATGGCCCTCCCAGAAAGCCAATCGGCATCGGCAAAATTAGTGGATAGGTTGTAGAAGACTGCATTCATCAATTCATCCGGTTATTCAACAGTGGTGGCAAGCTGATCCATCTGCACAAACCCCTGTGTGTCAGATGGCATTTTCCCCTCCCCAAGAGCAAGAAGGTCCCGTGCGAAGTCAGCGGATCTGAAGTCCCCATTCAAGTAGGCACGCATGTTCGTGCTCAGTTTAAGAGTCTCCACGTGACGCCAAAGGGCTGACGACTTCAGGCAGGCTCGGACAGCATCAGCGTGTGTACCTTTAGGAATAACAGGTAGAGTCTGCCTAAAGTCGCCTGCGAGGAGAAGGGTCACTCCACCCATGGGGTCGAAGGATTCGCGGATGTCTTGGAGACTTCGGTCAGGTGCCTCAAGGGCGCCCTTGTGTGCCTTCCTGCACTCATCTCAAGCTATAAGTTTGCATCTCCGCAGAACATCAGCCTGTGGCGAATTCTTTGTTACTTTACAGAGAGGAGTTTGTGACCGGCATAGTTCAAGCGGCAACCTAAAAGCCGAATGGGTGGTTCTACCTCCCGGTAGCCAAGTTGCAGCAATCCCGGAAGATGCGACCGCAATAGTGATCTCCCCACAACGCCTTACCTCTGCCAGGACTAATTTTGTAACAAAAGTTTTGCCAGTTCCTCCAGGCGCATCTAAAAAGTATATACCTCCACTGGAGCCGTTTGTTTGCCCTGTCTGTTATGGTAGTGAAAGCAACCCTCTGATCAGGTAGAAGTTTGGGCTCGTTTTCAGTAATGTATGCGTTCAGCCCCTCGATGGAGTAGGATGTTTCCCGCAATAACTCAGTTGGTACAGTGTCTCTGGGCGGTGGTGGTAAACCGTAAGTTGGTAAAGAGGCACCTCCCAGTTCGAAAACAACATCTTCTGGGGCCACCAGCGCTCTGTTGAATAGGAAGTCAGTGAAACCGCATTCAACTCCAGGGCAGATACGCTGAACGGAGAACAGCACATCCTCTGACATGGATTCTCTGTACTTTAGCCAGAGCGACAGAAGATCGCTTAGTTCGCATCGCAAAAGCAAAATGGCGAACAGCGTTCGAAGCCGTGATGGCGTTCTGAGAAGTTCACACTCCGTCATGGCTGTATCCCATTGGGAGTTGTCTTCAAGCAATCCCAAACGGAAGCATGCCTCTCTATAAGACTGGAACTCTATGCCGTTGACAGTGCGAATATCTGTGAAACTCGTTGGCCCAGCAATTTCATGAAGTAGAAGGCGGAGGTAAAAGCACTCCTACTGGCTGGGGGGCACAGTATAAATGCGTCCAAGGCAAGAGTTAGAGCTTACATCGGGATAACCCTCGACAGGGTCGCCAGCATTTCGCCGAACCCACCGGTTGTTTGACCACACGTAGTAGGACAGGACTTGGGGGTATATCAATGTTTTGACAAAAGCATCCGTTGAGCATAATTTAAAGAAAGCCGTTAGAGTTGTGTCTTTAGGGTTTTCCGCAACCTGCTGGGCGTTTTGTTCGGTGAAGTATATCCTCTGTCCATTTTCTAAGTGAACAGCCCTTTGGTGTACTGGGAATCCGAAAATTCGCCAAAAGGCCTCGCTTCTGCTGAGGTAGCGTCCAGCCACGTCAACGCAATTATCGCGCCGGATACCGAAAACGGCAGCATCACTGTCTTTGTTAACGTACTTGCAGATGTACTTTATTGACTTAACCGAGTGGCAGTATTCAGCGTTTATGTGGGCTCCAAAAGACTTGGACAGCAGCGGGCAATAAAGCACCACCCAACTATTGTCCAGAGTGTGCCCCTTAACTGTCACAGTTCTGCCACCCTTAGTGGGGCTTCTACGTCTGTACAGTGGGTAACCATCCATCGCAGACTGCGTTACCAACATGACCTTTTTTCGTAATTTGCGACATAGGTGCCGTGTATCATATTGTTTTTAATGATTTCGTGGAGCAAAGTATCCAGCGCAGGATCCGGAATTTCAGCAGAAATAAAATCGTCTGTTTTGTTAGCGTCAACCTTATCGTTGAGCCACAGCAGAATGTGGGGCATGAGGCAAACCGCGTTTCTGCCATTCCACTGTATACATATGACACTTAACGCGTCCGAAGACTTGCCCTTTAAGGATTAAGTCCATAAGCTTACACAACTGTAACCGGAAAACGCGGACAATTAGGTCAGGGCAGTGCGAGTACTGTTGACCTGGGAAAGGTTCGCTTGTGATTTCAACCCATTTCGGATTGCACGTGACGAACAAATCAGGCCTCCCGTAATGACAGACATAGGTCATTGCGTCTTGTGTCTTTTCATGCATATATGGCGGGCCACAAGTGTAAGAGGAATGCAAAATGCACGGTTTGCCGAGATTGTGTGGGTTACCAGCAGAACGCAGACCATCACGAAGGTGAATGTAGGAGTCGGTTCTAAGTTTTGATTGGTTTAACTTGATGAATCCTAACCTCTCCGACTCCATTTTTGCAGCCATGTCAACAGCGAATTGAAGAAATAGTTGACGGCACCTGTGCAAGTGGTTAAATTCACCCTCCCTAACCATAAACATGTAGGCGTAGTAAGCCCTACAGGAGACCGTCTTTGAGGTCGACATGGAATCGCTGCTTCCCTGGTATATTGGGATTCTGCAGTGGTACCCATCGCTTCCGTATGGAAAAAGAAGGGGGTACTGGAGACAGTCGTATGAACGGTGGGTTTCACTGATGCGACGCAGACCACCGCCCCGGTACCTTATGACAATATCCCGGCTGTTATGCTCCTCACCGTGGATGACTGCGGCAATTTCATTACATACAGGAGCATTGAAGCGGCGCTCATGCTCACCGTGAGGCCGTCTGTCTGCATCGATGACAACACTGAAAGAGGGCGAAGAGTTGTTTTGCAACACAAACTTTATGCTTCGGATGTAACTGTTAGTTTCGTGAAGCATGACTTGTAGACAGAACAGAATGTCTCTCCGGGGACCGACAGAATATCGCTAGGCAGAATGCCGAGACGCGCATCAACCTGCTCGTTGTAGTCAGCGAGAAATAAATTTGTAGGAACTGAGGTGGCTCTCCCTGATCAGCCAAAAGTGATCCCATTAAGTGGTAAACCTGGACTTGCACTTTGAAAGTAAGCATCCATCCCCCTTCACTAATAGCCTTCGCACCAAAAGACGTCATCGGGAAGCAGCAGTTGTACTTCCGTATTGCTTCAAGAAAATGCGTTGACTCCGAAGTTGTACCTAGAAGGAGGTTCCTAAGCGGCTGGTGAGGTTCGTCTAAAGAAGTGAGTTTGATTTTGTCCCCAGAGCAACAAAGCTCAGGTTGCTCACCGGCCCACTTTTTTGCGTTGCAAAAAGTGCAAACTTTATCCATGCCCCCTATTTGTACGTCTCTCCAAGCGGAATAGTTGCAGTCATAAATGTATGCGGCATTTGACAAAAATGACGCAGATGGCGAAGTTACGCCATTCAAAGAAGCTCGAAGTTGCTAATGTTTTCGAACCGCTGACGGCGTACTTCAGAGTTTTCTGCAGCCCTGGCAGACGCAGTAGAGCGGGCATTTCTAACGCGACGAACAGTGGTCTGTGCAGGGCTTTCTAGGGCTCTAGCAGATGCAGGGGAGCGGGCATTTCTAACGCGATGAACCGTGGTCTGTGCAGGGCTTTCTAAGGCTCTGGCAGACGCGGTGGATAGGGCATTTCTAAAGCGACGATGAGCGGTTTCTTGAGGTCGTTCCGAAGCTCTAGAGGCGGCTGTAGCCCTACTATTCCTAAGACGACGTGAAGTTGTTTGTTCGAGGCTTTCTAAACCCCTGGAGCAAGCTTTGGTGGTGGCATCCCGCAAACGACGAAGGGTTTTCCGTGCTGGGGGGACTGTGAAGCCCTCAACCTAGCCACGCGGACTGCGTCCTGTGAATTCTGAGATGAACGTTCTTCAACTGAAAGCCTGGCGCGGCGTGCAGACATGGTTGAAGCCGCTGAAGCCAAACTTTCAGTCCGCACAGCGGCGCTTTCCGTAGATAAGCGAGCAGCTGAGCTCGAGGCCATCTGTGAAAGTCTGTTCAGGGGTTTCTCACTCGCCCTCGCTGCTCCAGCAGCGGAGTCAGCTGCCGTGCGCCGTCCCAAATGTTTCCTCCTTTTAGGTGGCATCCAAACAGTAAAAACGTCTAAGAGGGTAAAGCTTAAAACGAGATTTCGTCAAATCCAAAACGAAAAAACGTGCACTGCTAACGTAGACACAAAAAGGGGAACACCCAGTAAAATGAGTTCAGATGTTACTAAAGAGGAACTCGAAACTAAAAAAGGGGAAATTTAAAAAGGTAAACCAAGGGTAGATCCAAAAGAAAATGGATTTTTAGTACAATTGGCTAACGTGTGTGGAGTTGGGTTGGAACTATAAAACAAAAAAGCAGCTAGAACACATAATTAACAACTTGCGGTATCCGAAGTTGGCGAATAAGGTAAGCCAAGTGCGTGCACGTGGGCAACAATAAACGCAAAAGTGTGAAAGCACGCCCGAGTCACGCAATAGTGGTGGTTGACCTTGAGCGCACTTAGACATAAGCTGACGCGCGATCACGCAGGCGCTATAACGTGTGAGAAATCCTGCGCGATGATTGGACAGGGCCCAATGTCAAGCACTGTGAAAGCGACCAATGGGCTTGCAGCAGTCTCGGTACAGACACGCGGACTCGGTTTTACGCAGCTGTGTGTGTGTAAAGAAGTTACAAAAAAGATTGATCCGCGTGCAGCTATGGTTATTTTTGCCGAAAAATTCTGAAATTTGAAACACATAAAAGCGATAGTAAGCCGCAAGTGTGTCGTAAATTTCATTTGAATCAAACCCAAACTGTACATACTGTGCCAGTGAATGTGTGTTCAGAGGGCTAAATCCTGTCCCTTGGTACCCCCGTTTATGGTTCCCTGGTCAAGCGGCTTTGACAGTCTTGCAAACAATTTGGTACTTGTTAGATAGGCAAGCGTTAGTGCTATCAGAAACTGGACCATTTGCTTCGTTTTGGTGGCTCGGTAACAAAAAATTATCCAAAGACTGCAAAAAATCTGCATGAATGGCCCTTACTTGTGCTTTCAAATTGATTTCGTGCAAAAACAATTGTGTTTGTCCAATTTTGGCGCTGTCAGAACCACCGTCGTGTAATTTTACGTAGTCCTCTGAAGTTTTGTTGAAATCGGTTTAAAAATGTAGGAAATACGATCCCATATATAAACGAACAGACACACACATAAACACACACACAGACACACACACACACACACACAAACAAACAAACAAACAACCTGGGTTTTATAATAAGTATGTATAATCCTAAGGATCCAGGCAAACCTACCTAGGTTTCACCTAAACAGATCTTCAGAAGATCCGTTTAGGTGAAATCTAAATAGGTTTGCCTGGTTCCTAAGATATTATATATATATATATATATATATATATATATATATATATATATATATATATATATATATATATATATATATATATCAAGTATATAATTGGTATATACGGAATGAATTCCAATAACCAACAATTACTATTCTTAAAAGAGTGCTCAATACAAAAGTAGAGCAGATATAATTATTTTTTATAAAAAATTATAACATAAGTACTTATACTTATGTTATAATTTTTTTAAAAAAATTATATATATATATATATATATAAAGAAAATATTATTTTTAATTATGCTACATTTGTGAGTGCTTAATATCAGGGACAGAGCGATGGGGTCAACATCCAACGGCGACAGTCTGTTTCATCCTTAAACGCAAACGTCAGGTCTCTTTCATGCTTAAACACAAATGTCAGGCCAGCTTCATGTTTAAGCGCAAACGTCAAGACTGATGATTGTATTTAAGTGTGAAACAGACCTTTTGCCGCTAAATATGAGACAGCCCTCTTTATATATATATATATATAAAAAATTCTTCATCCGGATCTTCTGAGTATCTGGATGGAATTGGGTAAGTTGCTTTATCTGATGCTGATTGTTATTTTAGAATACTGTTAACAAAACGGGTAGCAAAATTCATTTTGAATAACCAATTTATCATACGTTAAACATACTTTTTAAATATCACCAGTATCTGTTCGTCATAAAGAAAAAGTAGAGGTTAATGCAAATTAATTGAAACTTTAATGAAGTTTTACCTTTTACACTCCTAGAACTATATTCACTACTCCTTGGAGCCATTACACTTGGGCTATACAACAGCAGGTTATAATAAAAAGGCACGAAAATCAAGTAGCAATGCCTTACCGGCGTTTCCAAATTCTAAAATAATGGCTAATGTGCATTTGGTGCCACCAAACATTATTTGCAGTCGACCTGGGAAACCTCTAATCGATCTTGCGGAAATTGTGGCCCGAATTACTGTCTTATCTGAATTCATGGTTATAGGGTGATCGATATATATATATATATATATATATATATATATATATATATATATTTTGAACACAATGGCCCATAAGTGAAGATAGAATTCATTATTCAGTAGTAATTGATGTATGAGACCAGCTTGCTAACAATTACGCCACAATAAGGCGACCATGGATTTATTTACAGTCATTGATTCTTTTTCAATCACGAAATCAACATGACATGCCTCGGCTTAATGGCTATTTGAAAAGAAAAAAAACGATGTACGGTCTTATTATCGCTTTTGAAATCAACCGAAAACCAAGCCAATCACCGCAAGCACCAGGAGTCTCCACTCTGGTTTGAATTAAATCTTTGAATGTAGTAAACAAAATGGCGTTCGTGGTGGTAGCAAATGAGGAAGGTTGTCGCCAGTCAAGCAATCAGGTATGAAGAGCTGCAATAAAAGAAAGGGGGACGTAAAGAATGATACGATGGAAATGCTTTCTTTCTTCTCCTTTTTTTTTGTTGTTGCCAATATTATTTCATTGAAATATCTGGCTTTTACTTCCTTTATTTTATTTTTCATTTTTGTTTTGATTTCCTTTTTTTTTAAGTTACTTTGTTTTCGGTGTTAGTTTTTCGATTTTCTTCTTTCAAAACTTTCGACAATTTATCCAACATCCGTGGCATTCTTTCTTCATTTATTGCTTCATATGCCTTCATATGTTTCGTCTAATATTCATTCCATTTATTTTCTTCAGTAATTAAAAACTTTTCGTCGTCATGCAAACAGTTAGGGTCGTAGGGGTATCATAGGTACTACAGCACCAATGATGCGCCTAAGGCGATAAGGACTGATCCCATACCTCTTCAGACAAGTTTTGAATCTATTTTCCCTTCTCCTAGATTGGTTGACAATTCAATACAAGAGCGAGAGAGAGAGAGGGAGAGAGAGAGAAAGAGAGAGATTAACACTGATATTTAAACCATAGCTGGAGGGCGACGATAAGCGATTATTTGATAGTTTTAAAATTGTGCGAAAGTAAATGCAACGAGACGACCGACTTTCCGGCTAGTTAACCGTTACACTACACCACATACAAATACAACCAATATTTGTTTCCTATTTCTTTCTTTTTTCTTTCTTTGCATTTAATTTTTTTCCCTTTTTCTTTGGTGCCAGGTTTGTACGCATTTGCATTTTTATTCATTCCGCATGCAGGCGCACATTTTACGTAGATTCATTTGAATATTCTTACATGCATAATAGCTGCATGTGCATTACATAAACGAGGATCTGTTGAAAAGCTCATAGGCTGACCAAGATGGGATGTGACCAAATGAGGTTTAACATTCAACATGATTCCCCTTGCGGTCCACAAAGTTCTTCCATCAGTGTTGCAATGCTTGGATTCCATTGGTGAAGAAATTTCCATCCTGTTGGTAAGAAAACGTCAACAACAGCAGTGATGACATCATTACAACTGCGATTCTGGTTACAAGCCGATTATTTTTTCATGTTTGGGAACAAATGATAGTCAAATCAGGAGAATATGGAGGGTCGATCAACCAGTCCAAACGCACAATCACACAACCTGCCATTGGAGCCAATGTGACGTCTCCCCGGCCTCTACGCGCCGTCGCCGTACTATCATGTGACGACCAATGTGACTTGGTATTGTTCGCGGCTCCAAATGTGACGTTCTAACCCTTGGCTGATTCGGATGGAAATCTGGTTAGATACGGTATCAGCTTTGTCGTTCCCAGATCGCCTCCAACGTCTAGTTACCGAAGTAACTGCTTTGATTTCTAGTCTAACCTACCCACGTTGTGATTTGATCTTAGGTAGACGAATTCAATCAGTCGCCGGGCTGCAATGCAAGCCGAGTCTGAGCAAAGGTAACACCGCACAAGTATATGTAAAAGAAAGTAAAGTAACAACTCGAAAAGTTCAAACGTGTTAAAAAAAAGAATAACAATATTTTTTTGCTGAATACAGGACTGTATCTTTCTCCCAAACCACTAATATGGATACGTGACACTTTGCGTTTGTTAGGCGAGTCTTAACATCTTAAGTTGTTTTTTCAAGAGACTGGTTTTTGGTGTATCTTCAGGTGATATTCGTATAACTTGTTTTGGTGGTGTGAGTTTAAGTCGTTTTTCAAAAATAAATTGTTCTTGGTTAGAAGTTGAAGTCGGGATGCGCGGATCTTCAGTCAGCTTCCTGTGAGGCTGGTCTCAGAGCTCACAGCTCAAATCTGCGTCTCTCTCTCCAACTGCTTTCTGTGTTACTGCCGTCCACTTGCTGCGACTCTGCTTATATGAACGCCGACCAAAACCGGGGTGGGCTTGTCGGGGTTTGAGGTTCCTTAATAATTCTAATAATCCTTAATAAGGATTTTCTTTGTTTTCGAACAGGAAAATTTATTACTTTACATTTTTGGAAGTCCATTACTTTCTATTTTAAGGGAATCGTCCTCCCAAATTCTTCCTTTCTCATATTGGTATCTCACACCAATCCCCTCAGAGGCGTCAACAGGCCTCCCCTCCTTTCTCATAGTTTACCTTCGCCTACCGCTCACGCCACCCTTCAGCCAATGAACGCCCAGTAGCGTGGGTGTGGCTAGACTGGCTTCAGTTTAAAATTTTCGCTCAAAGGAAAAAAAAAATAATCTTAATCCCTAATCACTATCTTAACCGAATTTCATCTGGAGCTCGTCAACGAGATTTTCGTCAAATAATCATTGGGGTTGGTCAAGTGAATCTCTT